TACTATGCTAACTTGATGAGGCAGTTACAAAAGGCTATCAAAACCAAACGCCCAGGCAAACTGATGAAAGGGGTCTTGTTTCATCAAGACAATGTTCCAGCATGCAAGACCTTGATTTCAATGGCTGCTGTGCATGACTGTGGCTTTGAACCAGTTGATCACTGTTGCAACCTAGAACAGGTTATAGAATAAGAATAACCAAAATGAAGGTTGGAAACGGAACGGTAATCTTTATAACATTAACAACATACAAGATTCACCAGCAGCGTGTAGTAAGTAATCCACTGCTAGTAGTGATCCCCCCCTTGCAGGCAGTATATTGCACTTTATTTATGAGGATTGGGACATAGCTTCTGATAATTGTCTGCATTGTAGATTTAATCAGCCCACCCATCTGTAAGAGATGAATCTACAAATTTCTAGTAGCGAGTCTCTTTTCTTTGGTCGAAGAATAAATGCCACAAGAGCTAGTATTGCACCAGAATTCCATCTTGCATTTCTTTAAGTTAGGAATTTTTCAAAACTTCCCTTTAGAAAATCTAGTTTCTTCAAAAAAGCGGAAAACTAGGGTTAAATGAAATGGAAATTTCATATCATCAAGCCCTTCTGCTGTTCCAATAATCTCTTTACCATTCTTGAAATTCTTCTTGAGTTATTCATAGCTATTTACAACTTCACAGATATCTGATGTTGGGTGTTGTCTCCTTCAAGTTTGTCATCCATGACTACACAAAGTAATCGGTCAAGAACATGTTAGCAGACAACGAATTGTGGTTCTTCCAGGTTTCTTTTGGAGCAAATAGTCTTTGCAACTAAATGACAATGCCATTCCCATTGCCAGTGTTCACATTCATAGCGTCTGCAACAATCAGCTTCATACTATTCCATAAAGTGTATTTATCCAGAACAGCTGTTATTCATTTGACAACAGTGTCCGTTTTTCCATTTGGTAGATCTAATGCTTTTAACTTTGTCTTCTTTCAGTCTTCAAAATAAGCATTCTATATTCTTAGCCATCAATTTGTTTACCATCAAAATACAATGACCCATTTTCTAAGTGTAATGTTTTCTTCATTTCTTTAATTTTAAACAGATTTTTTAAATACCAGATTGAGAAGGTGTCTTAACATCAATCCCTTCTTGGGATAATTGCTGACAAACATTTGCTGATAAGTTTGAAGATGTTACTGTTTTGGTTGCAGTTCTAATTTTGCTATATTTCTCTTCCTTTTTCTTGGAGAATATTCTTCAGAACTTTCAGACTCTTCATATTAACTCTCTTATTGGGTCTCACATTCGAAAGTTGAAGTTATTGAAGTTTGCTCCAAGGTCACTTTTCTTCTTTTAGATGGATGAATAGTTTCGGAACTTGTGGTCTTTCCAGTTGTATATTCGTGATGTCCTTTGCTTTCGATCTGAAGCTGATAAAACCATCTGTCCTCTCTACACAGCCATTCAACATTTTTTTTTGTGATGTCAAAGATTTCATTCAATGGATCATATTTTCCTCGTTTCACACATTCATCATAGGTGTTCAGCACTTGATTCAGTTTTGCTTGTATGACTTGATTTGATAAATTTGGGAAATTTAATTTCTTTTGCCATAAATTTGTTACTTCTTTAGAGATTTCTTTTATACATTCTTTCCTTCCTTTGATGGATGCTCCAAGGAACAGATAGCGACCAACAATTTCAATTTTGAGCGGTATCCTGATTTTGTTTTCCAGTGATTGTTCTTCTAGTGGAACGGTTCTTTTCTTATGTGATTCTTGAAATCTTATCAGATTCTTCGTCCAGATCTTCTTGTTTCTTTCAGTGGTAGAAGCACTTTTTTTGTGAGACATGATGCTTAAAAATGAATACTTGGAGATCCTTCAGGAAATCAGTGTTCTATCAGGAAACTTATACACTCTGAAACAAAAAAAAATATTTGATCACAAATACACTTTTCCCCCATTTGCCTTATCTCAAGGACAACCCAACCAGCGCTCACTCTTATATAGTCCAAAAAAATGCACATCATAAAATTCCAGAAGGCTCCAAAATATTCCAGAAAGACATAGTACTACTCTGCTTATATACGAATTTAGAAATTTTGTGTTGGGAATGTGACATTTTTTTTAAAAAAATAAACTGAATTAAACTCTTTTTCATTATTTTTGTACAAAAGTTCATTTAATTATGATACAGGAAATCAAATATTTTACAAAAAGCCACAAGTTATAACCCTAACAAACATAAAATAAATTCAAAATTCCTTTTAAAGTATTGGGAGGCCATTGAATTGCAGTAAGCTTTTCCATTTATGATTAGTAAATACAGTCTTAATTTAAAAATATTACTTGAAAACTACGCATTAATACAGAATATTAAGATTTTAAAAGTTTATAAATTACTCTTAATTAAAAAATGAAAACAATTCTTTTAAAAATTCATTATTCACTGAAAAATAATTTTTTTATAAAGACAGCTGCCTGATCCCATATATGCAGAGACTACGAGAATTTTTGCTCAAAACATATACATTTGGAAAGCCCACATTAAAAGCCGGCCTTGTGTCACATCCTGCATTATGGCGAGGTCTTGGATAAATACCAAGAAGTTAACAATTAGTTACATTAGTCCATGTTCTCGACTATATACCATATTATTCTCCAGAATAAAACACTCATTTTCTATATGTCTGTCAACCTTTCATATTTATGACACAACAATAAGAAAAAGTAAACGACTAAAAAGTGAAAACAATAGAACAGGAATTGAAACGACAGACGATAACAATTGACATTGCATTTAAATTTTTGAAGATCAAAGTTGAGAGAAAAGCAAGAAGCCGGAAAAGAGTTCCACAAGCGAAAATTGAGTGAGAACAATAGAAGAGTAATCAGGAAGACAGTAGATAACAATTGACATTGCATTTCAATTTTTGAAGATCAAAGTTGACTGGAAAGCAAGAAGCCGCAAGAGAGTTCCACAAGCAAAAATTGAGTGAGAACAATAGAAGAGTAATCAGGAAGACAGTAAATAACAATTGACATTGCATTTAAATTTTTGAAGATAAAAGTTGAATTTTATTGCTGGTAATATGTTTGTTTTTTCAAAAAAAAAAAAAAAAAAAAAAAAAAATTGCTGGTATTAAAATTTAAAAAAGAAAATATTTTTATAATTTCATAGTATTTTGACCCCTTGGGGGGACTATTTGCCCATAGAAGAATTTTTAAAGGAATTGAAACCTTAAACTTAATTTTTCTATAAAAGAAAAATATAAAAAGGTCCCCCCATGACATCAAACATTCAAATCTATCAAAGCCCCCATTCGTGCTGAGACATTTCTGTAGCTGCACCATCCCCCCCCTTTCCTCTCATTTTAGGAAATTGTAATGTCATTGTTTAAATTGTTATCTAGTGTAAGGTGCACAAAAGGAAATTTTCGTACAAGCTCTTGTTTGAAAATATTGTATTTGTTTTTATGTATTGCACTAAAAATGTTTGTTCTTTTAAATTTCGCCTAGTGGTCAGAGACTTGTTTGTCTTGTTCTTCGAGTAAGAAGGGATGCGATATGCTCCCTTTTCCACCCCACCCTTCATTCTACATCTGTAAATTTATATCTGTATCTTCTTTGGGTTTCATCAATGATAGCAGAGGCACCAGACCATATGTGTGGCAGCAATATTCAAAGCCATGGTTGAATGGTAGACTTAAAAATTAAATATATAAGGCAAGATAGATTCGGGCGAGAAAAAACAATTACAATATTGAGTCAATATAATTTTGGTTTGAAAATAATATAAAAAAGTGAAAACAATTTACGTTTAAAATAAATTACTGAAGTAAGTGTTGATTCTTCTTCTGGTATTTACAAGAAATGCAAGGAAAAAAAGAGACCCGCGAAAACAGACACGTACCAATGGATCAAAAAACAGTCAAGTCATAAAAAAAAAAAAAAAAAATAATAATAATAATAATGAATGGAAAACATGAGATTAGATTACTAATATTCTTCACAGTCAGTCAAAGCGAGATATCAAGATTATGTCCTTTTTGTACATCCATACAAAAAAATAAACTAACAGTTGCTAAAGGTGAAGGAAAAAAATTCTTTTTAAAATAAAGGTTCATACTCGAAAATAGCATTTAAACTTTACATAGAATATTCAAACATGTTTTTAATTTTTAAGTCATTTTGTTTTTTTTTTCTTTAATAATAATAAAATTTAAAAAGGTGTAGTTTTTTCTGTCCAATCTGAAAAACAACATAGGTAAATTTGCTTTTTAACGCCCAAACAGATTTTATTTACTTTGTAAGATGCGGGATGAAATTTTTTTGTATGTTCACTCTTTTAATTTTTTTTTTTTTAACTAAAATAATAAAGGTAAGGATTTCTTTCTAAAACCGTAAAAAGGAATCTAAATAATAATAATGACGAACTCCTCCTAAATTAAAAAGTATACACACAATATCGGAAAGGCGTGTGAAACAGAACCCCCCCATTAAAAAACAAGTTTTTAATAAAAAAAAAAAAAAAAACCTATTCAGTTATATAATATTCATTCATTAATGAATAATTACTGATAATTTCGTTTGAATCGAATAATTTCCTGATTTTTAACATTTTTTTTTTAATAGGGGGTAGCGATTTTTTGCTTTCGAAAGCATCCATTTTGGTTGGTGGTACCTGTTAAAATTTAAAAAAAAAAAAAAAAAAAAAAGAAACGGAATTGTCTTTTTTTTTCTGTGTATGTTTTTATATTTGACTTCGATAGAAATTCAATTCGTCCTTTGTTCCCCCTTAAATTTAATGAAAACTATTTCTTTCCTTCTCAGAAAACATTTTTTAAGCATCGTTAGATTCGTTTATTTAATTTATTTATTCAGTATTTAAAAAAATAAATGAATGCATCAGTTTCATTATTAAATATTTTAATTACCTCTTTTTGAGTAAAAAAAAAAAAATTAGGAAGGCTAGATTATTTAGAAATTGGTAAAAGTCTTACTTACATCGTCGGTTCCAATTTTACTTGGGTGGAACTGAGTTTGCGACAAAATTTGGTAAACAAAAATAACGTTTCTAGTATTTTTTTTTTTTTCCTAGAATCGCCCGTCACTAATTGACAACAAGCAGTGCGACTGCAAAGCTCCTGTGACGTCATAGGAATGCAAGGATTTCATTGGATGAGAATAATAACGCCACCGGACGTTAAGGCGTTTTTATTACACAAAACGAGAGAGAGGGTGGAAAAAGGAAAAGGAGGAAGACGAGAGAGAGGTGGAAAAAAAGGAAAGGGAGGAAAAGAAAAAAGAGGAGAGAAAGAAAGAAAAAAGCCAGGGAGGGAGAAAGAAAGAAAAAAGCCAGGGAGGGAGAAAGAAAGAAAAAAGCCAGGGAGGGAGAAAGAAAGAAAAAAGCCAGGGAGGGGAAAGAAAAAAAAAAGCCAGGGGAGAAAAAAAAAAAGGGAGGAGGGAGAAAGAAAGAAAAAAGCCAGGGAGGGAGAAAGAAAGAAAAAAGCCAGGGAGGGAGGGAGAAAGAAAAGAAGGAAGGTAGATAGCGAGGAAGGAAGGAAGGAAGGAAGAAAGAAAGAAAGGGAGGAAGGAAGGAAAGGACTCTGCATTTGCTTCAATATCATGGCTGACTACAAGCAGCACTTATCATTATGCGAAAAATAATAAAAATCGATTATCTGTCTATATCTCTTATATGAGGTATTGATTATTTACATTATTCGGACTGTTATATCCTCATTGCTATATTCACAACGTTTCGGCCATTGTACGCTCTGGCCTTCTTCAGGTGATTGGAATTTTCGTATTGAACTCACAACTCTCTGGGTCTCTAGTCACTGGATTTAACCAACGGCTTTGTGTCCTTGAGGACATCTGTGTTGAATTTCTGGGACTTAAAAACCTAATGTTTCAGCAACCATTTTTGCCAGCGCTCATATTGCAATATTTTGATTTATTATTGCATTTTTTACTAGAGTTTATATTGCAATTTTTGTTATTCATTACTTTTCTCTAGCACTCCTTTTACTGGTTCTCATATTGTATTCATTTCTATGCTTGGTTGACTTTTGTGGCCTAGCATGTGTGCTGATTCCTTAAGCTTTTGTATTTTACAGTGATGCTCTCTGTCTATTATTTCAACCTCATCCCACAGGGTGCGGTGATCTTTCTTTTCCCTCCATATGTGGTCAGCTATGTCTGATTTTTCTATTTCCCCTTGTGTTACCACTTTACGATGTTCTTGCAGTTTTACCTTAAAGGGGACGGACTGTTTCTCCTTTGTATTTCTTATGACAGCTGCACGGGATGGCGTACACACAGTCCTTAGTCATGTTCTCCTCTACAGGGGGTCTTACTCGAGAGAGGTGTCTGCAAAGTGTTGAACTACTTTTGAAGATTGTCCTCATGTTATATGGACCACAGATCCTTTTTATCTTCTCCAATAATCCCTTCACACAGGGGGTAGACAGACCGAAGCTGTTTTCTGAGTGCTGTTATCCTACTGTATCCGCTTATCCGAGTTTGTTGGAACTTCTGCCATGTACCCAGGGTAGTTGTTACGTTGTAGGGTACGGCTTATACTGACCATTTCTTGTTCATGTTTCTGGGTCGCCACTTATGACTTTTGCTCGATGTTGTAAGAAGCGGACGATCCCTTTTTTTTAACACTGTATGGATAGTGGGAGTTGAAGTTGTCTGGTGAATGTTCGCTTGCGGTATACGGATGTCTTGAACCTCTGCTCTGTTTGAGATTTTAATACAGAGGCGAGTTTGTTATTGCCTTCTCGCTTCATTGTGAACTGTATCGATGATCTTATTGAGTTCACGTGGTCCAGTAGTAGCTGGATGTCTTCCTGGTTGGGTTAGAGTATGAAGGTATCATCTACGTATCTCAGCTATAGTGTTTGCTTTGATGGTGTTGATTCTAATGCCATTTCCTCAAAGAATTCCTCAAATATATAGGTTTGCCATTGCTGGTGATAATGGCGAACCCATTGCTAATCCCTCATCCTGTCGATATATGTCCGATCCCATTTCGAAGTATGTTGTTTGCATACAGAAAGTCATCATCTTCATCAGTTTATCTACTGGTATACTGGTCCGTTATCCTAGGGAGGACTCCGAGAACAGTCTGTCCCTGGCTACCGAGAGTGTCTCTTTTGTGGTTACCTTGGTGAACAAAATCACCACGTCCTGACTCACCATTTGGTTGGATTGGATGGGAGTATATTTGATCATTTCCACAAAGTGAGCTGAGTTCTGGGCATATGATGGTGACTTTCCGATTAATGGGTCGATTATATATAGAATCCAATAATCCCTTTACATATGGTAGGCAGACTGAGGCTGTTGTAGTGGTGTTTTAGATATGTTGGCTAGGGTCACCGTGAAATGTAATAGCAATCTAGAAGGAAAGCTGTGTTCTTATAAACAACACTCCACATGAAATATGCACAGAATATATGAGAGAAATAAGTCAAGCTCCATGAACATTAATAAAATATTGTATTAACAATGATATACAAATATCAACAATAAGTATAAAAAAAGTTACTTCCCTTTTTCTGTAAAATGTTGAGTTACAATATGGTAATTAACTATAAAGTTCAATTAATGTTCTTGACTCAATGAAGAATAATTCCACAGTCTGTGAGTGTGAAAAGATGTAATGTGCACAAGTGATATTAATAGAAGTTAGTAAGATTACTTGAATGAGTAATAACTAAGAATTAAAATGTTATATAGCGCCGTGCCGTATATTCAGATAATTGAACGGCTACCAATGTTGGCTAACAGCGAGAGAGTTTATATAGGTATGCATAGGCTCAAGTGAGCTTAGCGCCAAAAAATATAGAAAGATACTAAAATACGCGATTGGTCAGGAAATGGACCAATCCGTGATTTTAGAGAAAAATTAAAATAATGTGCGATGGTAAAATTGTCATATAGTAAATATCATATATTTATGAAACAATGACATTAAAGAAAACGGGGGGGGGGCATATGTAGTGATCACCACACTGTTTTCTGAGTACTGTTATCCTCCTGTATCCTCTTATCCTAGTTTGTTGGAGCTGCTGCCATGTACCCATTGTTACGTATGTTTTGTATGTTTCTGGGTTGCCAATTATGACATTTGCTCGATGTTGTAAGCAGCGGACGATCCCTTTTTTAACTGTATGGATGGTGGGAGTTGAAGTTGTCAGGTGAATGTTCGCTTGCGGTTTTACGGATGTCTTGAACCTCTGCTCTGTTTGAGATTTTAATACATCCAGGAAGGTGAGTTTGTTATTGCCTTCTTGCTTTATGAGGAAGGAAGGAAGACCGGGAGAGAGGGTCCTGATTGCCAGCCTCTCCAGTTTCGTGATGTTTGATTGGGTGGCTTAGTTTTCTCCAATGTCTGTCTCGCTTTTCATCTTAGTTCATCTGTCTGCGCCTGTGGGAATTTCAAGGCTATTTCCTCGATTCGAACAATGATGTCTAAGTATGGTATCCTCCTGATGGTTGTGTTGTGACCCTTGTTTACAACTGACTCCTCTTCCGAAATTGTTATAGTGGAACACACCGATTCTATAGTTAACAGATTCTCCCATCTATAATAAGTAGGAGTAGTAATAGTAACGAGTCGCTCAGTGAGTTGGTCTGAGTTCAGTCTGAAGTCGGACGACCGGCTGACCGGTTGAACTCTCTGCCTTCGGGCGGGGAGGAACCCGAACGAGGCTACGCCGAAGGGCGGAGTCTCTTTTGGGGAGGTAAACCGACCCTGAACCCGTTTATACAGGTTCAAATGGGCATCCCACGTTAAACCGGCCTTGTGCCACATGATGCCATCGTGGTGTGGGGGGAACTGAATACCGTCGCTGAATGGGTTGGTCAGTCAGTCGATGCCGGACGACCGTTAGTCGGATACTAAAGTATCAGCGACCACAACTAGATTTCTCTGCGTTATACTTATTATATGAAGTTCCTAACGTTTTGTACGTCGAACCTATTTTAGGACCGACTTAATACGAATACAAGCCTCCACTGTGAAATCACTCTACAACAGGTATTCAGCTGATATTGACTGATGTTGACGACAGCCTTTAATGGTTGGTGATGGACCTTGTCCGTCACCTTCTGATCTTTCAATCTACTTAATTTTTGTACCTGGCGGGCTTTGACCACATCGAATTCATGACTGAAGGATTTATCCAGGTAATGCTAGATCCTCTTTTGGTCTTCTTCATCGGTAATCCTGTCGAAGAAGACCTCGAGCCACTTGGAGATATCAGATTGTAGTTTCTGTTTTATCCAACAGTTGTACTGGATTCCCCCTCGGGCAAGGGCGTGTCCCGCTTTCTCTGTGTCCCTAATATATCACATTCCTTTTAGCAATTAAAACCTTTTCTAATTAAATAATGTTGTAGAGGACCGTATCGGCGAGGTTACCATTATGTAGAGTTTCGTGTCATGGCGACGTTGTTGAGTATAAGTAGATGGATACATGTGGGTAGAAATTTTCCTGCTAGCCGGTCCAACCACATGAGAAAGTTGGACTTTAATTAAGTCCAAAGAAGGCAAAGAAAAACAAACACAAGACCGATAAATATATGTAAACAAATATATGTATTAATAACAAGAAAGGTTACAAGTTACATGGACAGAGTGTGTGTGGTGAATATTATGCGTGTGTGTTGTGTTGTGATGAGTGTTTGTACGTACCTGTATTATTCTTAGCGTGTTCCCAGTATTTGGGAAACGCTGTCTCTGTGAGCGTTCACATCTGCGAGGTGGTAAAGCTGAAAGCCTGAGGAAAAAGAGAAAAAGGCGAAGGGTCAACGACTATTTATAGCCAGGGAAGAGAGATCCCTGGTGGAAGGGTTAACGAACTAAAGGAGAAGTTAACTCCGACAATGTCATAGTTTTATTGCATTTTTTTTTTTTTTTTTACGATTCAGAGCAGATTTTCGGTGGTGATTGAGGGTCGTCTTTTAAAAAAAGAAATTGATGATTTAAATTCTCGAAGGACTTCTGCATTTAAACTAAAACATTTAAGCTCTACAAAATTTAATTTTTCGAAACTTCATAAAATTAAATAAGTGGGGTGGGAGTAACAGATGTAAAAGAAATATATTTTTGCTAGGATTTTTTTTACAAAGAAAGCATTTCTAAAATAATTTTATTCATTTGTGAATAAGCTCTGTAAGTTTTATTAAAATTCGACAATTATTTTATTTTTGCAAGTATTTCCAAATCAGTGTTTTTTACCGTACCCCCCCCCCCACAAAAGAAGACGATAAATTTTCTATACTCATCTTTGGACAAAATGTTCTGAAAATGATAAGAAAATATAATTTAATAAACAAAAAACCCTTGTTTTTTCATCTTGATAATTTTGATGCTAAAACTGTTTTTATTATGTTGGGGTGTAACGGTATTGATGGCATAAATCAATCCGCACATTTTTTTACTTTACGAATGTGTAAGAAAATAAAAAGCAAACAAGAGAAAGAACACAAGAAAATAACTTTTCATAACAGGTACAATATTTATATTTATAAATGACAACAGTTTTAAAATAATTATTAATATGAGTTACTTCCCTTTGATTGGGCCAAAGTCTTTA